GGGATTGGAACCAAGTCCCATGTTTTGTTTTTGATTAATGATGAGTATTCTGCATCAGTTGCTTCTTTCCATTCACTAGCATGTTCTCCAGTCCATGCATCCTGGATCTTTCTTGGCTCATCAATTTCGTCTGCTATAATATCAGCACTGAAAGAGTTTTCATTTTCTTCATTGACTTGCTCAGCCAGCTTAGCAGAAGAACATGTTCTTTCGCCTTGCAAGTTTGCAACTTCTCTCATAAATTTCTTCTCAAATGTTGCTCCCACTGGCAAGATATTGTGGTTCACTTCTTCTATAACATTCCCATCAACGTCTGGATTCATTTCATCATCAAACTCAATACATATATGATCAGATTTTGATGAGACAGTTGTATCAAAGTCATGAAAATCTCTCTCTGAGAAGATAACATCACCACTGTGAATGAAATGTTTAGCTTGAAGATAATAAAGCTTATACCCCTTTGTTCCAATTGGGTAGCCAACCACTATAGCTTGTTTTGATTTAGCAGCAAATTTATGACGATATTTATCAGCAATGTGCACATTAGCTATGCAACCAAATACCTTATGATTTGACACATTTGGCTTCACACCATACCAGCATTCAAATGGTGTCTTCTTATTAAGTGCAACTGTTGGGCTGCGGTTTCTCAAGAATACAGCTGTGCTAACTGCTTCTGCCCAAAATGAAGTTGGTAATTTAGCATGACGTAACATAGAACAAGCTGTCTCCACAATTGTCCTATTCATGGGCTCTGCAACACCATTTTGTTCCAGATTCATTGGAGTTGTTGTTTGATGTATAATTCCTTTTCTCTCATTTATTCTATGAATTCTTTGGAGCAATATTCACCACCATTATTGGTACGAAGTATCTTGACTTTATTCCAAGTCTCATTGGTTGTTAAGTTTAAAAATTTTTCGAATTTTTCTAGCACTTCACTTTTTTGCCTAAGGAAGTAAACGTGGGTATACAGTCTTCGTCATAAGGAAATCACCATGCGTGTGGCAAACCACACGCATTATTTCTTTCATGCGTGCGATTCACACTCTTAAAAATCAGGCTATTTCGGTCCCAGTTTACACAGTCCTGTTCAAAAACTGAACCGAGACGGTACAAAATTCGTTTTCTTTCGTAACAGGGTCAGAACCATTCCGGATGGCAGAGCACAATTAGCTCGGTTCCAGAGTGCTAGCGCAAACGAAAGGGCGAGGCGCGACCGTTTTGTCACGGTGCCAAACTTGTACGCAGGGCCGCCGCCTAAAGAATTGGAGGTCCTGGGGCTAAAGCGTAGAATTAGTGCCCTTTCGTTTCGTTGGGGCTAAAGCGTAGAAATTTTTTGCGACCACGCCCTTTAAGCTTGCTTAAATTCGTTTATTCGCTACAAATGTTTTACTGTTTATGGGCTTTAATTTGTTACTTTTAATCAATTTTATTTCAAAACAGAATTCATTACTTTGTAAGGCCCCCTTCACCTCGAGGCCCTGGGGCAATTTGCAGAGAGCTTGAGTGTTTCTGCTGTGTTCTTTCCAAAAACATTTGACATTACAGGACAACTATAGGGAAATATTGATTGATACAGTGGCGTAGATAAAGGGGGGGGCAAGGGGCTGGGCGACTTACGTGAAGTTATGTACAAAATTTTGAAAAAATAAAAGCTCTTATAACATTTTGGTCGGAAAATCTAAATTTCTCGCCCCTTTTATGAATTCTCCTATCCACATCACTAGATTGGTATTAACCTTGATTGTCGGAAGATCTTCTTTTAGCGGGTCTATTCGTCGCCTGCCTCTCGCATCTATGATAAAAAAGCAAATTTTCTTTTGAGCAATTTCATCGATATTTACTCCGATAATGGCGAAAACGGGAAGGTAAAAGTTTTGGACAATCCCTGACGACCGCCATGTTTCCGGGAGAATTAGAACAAAGCAAAGCGATAAGCCACGATACCAAGCGAAATAGTCACTATTTAAAGAGTAAGCCGATGTTGCTCAGCTTATGGAAGACAAAACTTCCAATGTTTCGTTGAAGAAAACAATTTTATTCAGGTCAAAAACGACGGTCAAATATACAACTCGTGCGTGCGAACAATCGCTCGCATTATTGGTGCCATGCTTGTGCCGATGCGTGCGCATGCGATCGCACGCATTAAACGACAAAGACTGGTATACCGAGATGCATTCGATAAATGTTACGAAGTACTTTGACTTTCCAATCGATTCCACGTTAATTGGTCTGCAAACCTCACTATGTATTGTTGACAATACCTCAGCTGCTTGAGTTGATGATGCTTTCGGAAATGCATTGTGATGCTTTCAAAGAACTATGTCTAAAGACAACAAAGAAGCGAATCTTTTTTATGTCGCTCTAGTGGCCTCAAAATCCTGCCCTACCAGTGAACAGATTGCACCTGGTGTTTTCTAAATAATTGCGTGTGGAACCTATGTGCCAAATTACAGCTTTTTAGTATTTTTGTCCAGGTAAAATCATAATTCAACCACACTATATTATCGATTTCATCAAATAGAGACATCTTCAAGATTTCATCAAAGGCTTTCCGATATCTTTCAACGCTTTGATTTAAAGGAAGCAGTTTTGTTAAGAGCATCTTCTTTCAAGTTTTGTGAATTTTAGAATTTTGCTTTCGCTTCATTGGCAAAAGTTGCAAGAATTTCGACATTGCATTGGTTTTTTTATTTCAAAGTTATGAAAAATAGCCATCTTAAAGTTTCTATTCCTGATTACTTTTTTTGAAATGTCTTATTAAACATAGCATCTTATATTTATAGTTTATCCAGCTTTTTAGCTTTAAGTTTATCCAGCATGTAAGATTTGATTATTTTAATATGAAAATGCTTTCTCTCAAAAAATTGAAGAAATAGAGGCTTGTTTTTGTCGTCAAAAATTGTCGAAAATTTTTGTTTTTGATGAATTCTTTTGAAGGTGTAACTTGAAATTTTCCTCAAATTTGTCAGAAATCGATAGATACCAGATTCAAAAGCTTGAATACTTTAGTGTCCTTTCTTCAGCCTACTATGCACAAATGAGTTTTACAGGTCGTAACATAATACTGTGAAAAAGCGATACAATTATTGGAAGTGATCTCTTCCACCAAGAGATGATAGAGGAAAAAAGACAAACAGCTAATTTAAGTCAAATGGCGCCTTTAGAGTAAGGACCTTCTGTTATTTTGATAATAAAGAAATTTTAAAGGTAGAAATTTTCAACTGTGTCGGTAGAAAGGTGTAAATCATACCGTGTTTAATAACATTTAAAACAATATTTTTATGGTCAAACGAACCATCCTTCAAAATTGATACTTTTCTAGTTCCAAATTTAATAAACAGAAATTTCTCAGTCATCATAAAAATAAAGCTGAAAGCAGTTTGCTTTTTTTGTCTTAGCAAAGTATTTCATCTTTTTTATCAAATTTGTAATCCAATCTTTTATCAACTGCTATGCAGTTTGTTACAGAATCTTTTTAATGTAGTTCTTCATAATTCTGCTTAATTTTTTTTTCAGAAAAACAAGACAGTCATATGAACAGGATAATTATAATTTAATTCAAACTCTGTTTAGAAAGAAATCCATTTTCTACCACAAACTATCATTAGCAAGCCTTTTCAGATTGTATATATTTTTGATGACTTCTTTCTAGTTTGAGCAGCCATTTAGGTCTTCTTTTGCAACCTAATAAATATTGTTGGCAGACCGTTTGGTGAAAATATTTTCACAAGTGAAAAACTGCCCGCATGAATGAGCTTACGAGGGCTATTGCCCATCTAACAATTACTTGGTAAAGAATCTTTCAAGGCCTAAGGAGTGTATTAGGGTATCATCTTTCCATGACAGCCTTACATTTGATCTTCTAAATGTGTGGCGATTGCCAATTCTAACAACGCTTTGTTTTCATAAGCAGCTGGAACTTTTAGTCAGGGATATTTAGACTTATTTAGAAACTTTATCATAAGTGCTCTTCCTGTCTGTAAATGCTCTTGATTACTTTTTTCCCTTTGTATGATACATAGCATGTATGTTTGATGATCGTTCCTTTAAAGCTTGTTTAAGCTCTCTATATTTTTTAACGTTTTTCAGTTTGGCAATCCAATTTGTTTATCTGGCATGTTGCTGTTGTAATGTTGGCATTTTGGGTTGATAAATCTAGGGATTAAGGAATGACGTGAATAGCTACCACTTTACATGAAAAGCTATCATTAGAGAATAAATTTTTCTGCCATTTTGTCCTACATTCCTCTGCATCAGTTTCTTTGACCATCTACTTTCCAATGTCTTGTTGCTTGAAAATTTTTAGTGTAATCTTGCGCTATTGCACAAATATTTTGCGAGTAAGTGCATTAATTTTTAATGCTAAGTGATAAATTTAAACCAGGCGCCAAGTCAACTGACACTCTTTTTTTTCTTTTTTTTCAGTGGAGTCTGAAGACAGATAAGACCGGGTTCACTGCTTGTGAATTACATAATAGTGTCGTAGATGGTTACGTTATAACACCATTTGTCACTACAAATCCAGCCAAACAAGTAACCCTCAGAATAACTTATACTTTGAATTGCTGTTTAGCCAAATTGTCCATTGGTGTCTATGTCCTTTTGGGCTCAGGTAAAATATTTCGGCCCAGTGCTCAAAGCTTCAAGTACATTTCTGCTTTAAAGAATACCTCATCAATGAATCCTTCATCTAGAGCACAGTTTACATCAGCTATTACCGTTGGAATGGAAGGAAGGACTGGACTTTTTATTGCTTTCAGAGATCAAGGAATTTGCGGAAGGCTTGATTCATTTCAACTCAGTTACATAGAATGTCCAAGCTCAGCTGGGGAATTAATGTCATTTCCACTTAGAACTGCAGCTCCAAACAGCACAGTTTCAGTCCTAAAGGTGACTGGAACATGTGTTTCCAATGCTGATGTTCAAATTTCAGAAGCAGCTAATTACATGTTTTGTTACACAAATGGTTCCACCAAGGTGAATGGTGGCTGTCATTGCATAGCTGGGTATGAAAATCATGTCTTTGCCAAATGTAATGGTGAGTCTATTTAAATATGAGGCTTCTTACTTAAAACTTTCATTCATTCCATGTACTCAAAGCTGCCACATAATATGGTTTCATGAACACTATGATAAAAAATTGTTTTATCTTCTGTTGATTGATAAACGATCTTAAGGATCTTGTAGACCAGAAATTTCCAGTTCAATAGAGATAATAATTGCGAAATTATTTAATCCGGAATGTTTTATTTTAAGTTTCTTTATCCTGTCACTTATCTGCAGATTTTATATAAAAAATTGAATTGACTCTTTATATTTTTTTATGTACGTTGGCTCATTGTTTTAGTTACCAAGACAGTGCGCTTTAACTTTGCAAACTTTTAAACTTTCTAGAATCTCAAAGAGAATGAGCAGTTATTTAAATTGCAAGTGCAATAAATTATAATGTGTCATATTAATACTTTATAACACAAACTTACCATTGTTCTCTGTCTTTTACAAAAACATTTATAGAGTCGAAATAAAGTAACCCAATATTCAGGTGATATTCCCTTATATGAATATTGTAATAAAACTCCTTTTTATCCTGTTCAAATTTAATGGAACTGGTATTTAATTTTGAACGGATAGGACTTATATCCATCAATTTTCTTGCAACTTTCCATCATCGCAATAAAAAGAGTATCAACATGGTTATTTTTTGACAGAATGTCCCGCAAAGAGTTTCAAAAGTGCTGCTGGTAACTTTAATTGTACCAGATGTGGTGCAAATGTTGAGGACGGACTGAAGCCAAGGACAACACCTTGTAAATGCAACAATGGATATTACAGACCACTTTTATATCAAAATGTTCCAATTGTTGACTGTGAAGGTGAGCTTAGTTTAAACAGATTATTGATTTTGTTATGAAAGAGAATAGATTTATGTACCCATAAATACAATGAAACAAGTGGCTAGAAGGTCACTTAAGGATCAAAAGTAGCAAAGAATATCTAAATAATGCCCAAGATGCACGATTGAGCTAGGGAACAGATCCTTTCTTCTGGTTGGGGAGGGGGGGCAATGCCAACAAAACCAGTAAATTTGCCGACCAATGACATCATTTACCTAAAAAATCGACAATGTAGCAAAACATGGGGAGCGCTTGCCCCCAAAACTCCCGCAATTATTGCCACAACTAGAGAAAAATCATTTTTTAATGCTTGCTAACATGATCATTATTTTTGCAATCACCATCATTTACTTTGGATTTATGTTGGATAGGATTTCATCATCGCATGTTTTGATCTTGTTAATATAAGCCAAGGAGCACTTGATCATTGCTTAGAAAGTTATTGTAAGTGGATATTCAATTTCGGTTCCTTTTTTGAATAAATTTGTTTTTGGGGCTTTCTTTTTCGAAGGGACACTTTAATAGACAAAGTATCCTTATTTTTCTTATAACAGTTATCATTCAAAGGATCTTGTGCAACTTGCTTGCTTTGTGACGAGGGCAAATATATAAGTTATTCATAAATAAACTTATATACATTCAGAGGTGGCGCCAGAAATCTTCCGTAAGAGGGGTTGGAGCTTTCAACAGGGGGGCTAAATTGACTATAATATGCAGTTTTCGTACGTTATTTTGTCAAATTTGCTCCGACAATAACCTAAAAGTTTCTTTCCGATAGTGGGGCTAGATACTTCTGATGGAGGGACTGTAGCGCCCTAGTCCTTCTCTGGCGCCACCACTGTTTACATTCTATTGCCCAGTTGCCCGCTATCTGCTATTTTTGACCAAAAAGTACTTATTTCAACATTGTAAGGGCGTGTATGTGGAAGAAAAGTAGTTCAGCATGAAACCGCCTTTCAGAATATGTACATATAATGTGGTTTTAGCGACATCAAAATTTGAACCCCTGCTGATCAGTGCGCCATATGGGATTTGCCCAGTAAGGAATTCCCAATGTCCAATTGATGGGGCTTTTTTCTGGTTTTTCCCAGTATCGTATGGAACCCATGTGCCAAATTACAGCATTTTATTATTTTTGTCCAGGTAAAATCGTAATTCCACCACACTAATGGTATTGAGAAGGGAAAGGGGTTACAAAAGTTCTCAGAGGCACTGTTTTTTGTTAGAAAGAGATCCAAAATCTAGAATTAGTGTGTGGAAAGTATCCTCTCCCCCCCCCACACTAAAATGCATTAATAAGAATGTTGCATTGGCCTAGAACTCAATCAGGCTTTTTGCTGGATCCGCCCCTGTCCCGGTGAAACGCACCCTCATTCATATCCACTTTTCTATTTTCAAGATCACTCTCTCTAACCACAACTCTTACTATTTCCAGCTTCTTCGATATTTTGTTGATATGTTGATATTTTGAATTAGTAACTTTGTGGAAGCTCTGCATACAGAGATGAAATATCATATATCATTGGCAATAAGGGCGTTTAAGCTTTCCGTTATAAACTTTCACTCTTTGACTTTGTAAACAGAGTTCCGGTCCTAATTAAATCCTTTTTTCTATATACATAAATAATGCAAAATTTTTTATTTTCGTCTCTTATATTCTTTTTATATTATTGATTTCTAATGTGCACAATTCTGTTTTCACTTTAATACCGATTTTTTATCATTTTTTTCTTAATAATTGTAATCAATATGGTTTTCAACAGCGCCACCATCTGCTCCAAATAACGTTAAGGCCACACAGATTGGATCAAAGTGGATCTTATTAGAATGGACGGTCCCCATGAACCAAGGGACTGGAGACAAACTGAAATACATGATAAGAGCAAGCTGTACTAAATGTAAAATTCCACCGGACTTTACAACATCTAACCTTCTTTTCAATGTGACTGGGCTGAGCGCCTACACACGATATGACGTCAGAGTCTATTCTATCAACAATGTCACTGCTGCCATCGGCTTCGACAAGGCTAAGTACAACAGCACTTCAGTTTTGACTGGATCAGGATGTGAGTGAACGTTTGGCTTGAGTTACTCTGTTTGCTTAATGATATTTTAATTGTCAGCGTGTGATTGAAAACATCCTGTTTTTCTTCTTTGCAAGACTCTGTCCCCACATATCGCATACACATTTTTTACTTTAGTTATAGGCAGTATTATTAACTCCAACTTTGCAGCCACGGGGACCACTTGATCATTGCTTAAGAAGTTATTGTCAGTGGATTTCAATTTAGGTTCCTTTTTTGAATAAACTTGTTTTTGGGGCTTTCTTTTCGAAGGGACACTTTAATAGACAACGTACCCATATTTTTCTTATAACAGTGAGCATTTAAAGGATCTTGTGCAACTTGCATTCTTTGCGACTTTATTCTCAAAGCAAGTCCAATATCGTATTGCATAAAAATACAAAACACAATCAATGTCTGAAGATTGTTGCTATGCATGCCGGTTGTGCAAGTGTCTTTAACTGTGACAAATTTGAAATATGTACCTCTTGCAAGCTATTCGAAATTCTCTGCAAAGAAAAACATTATTGGGGGTTCCTTTTGAAGGTCATGTGTCCTGCAAATTTCATTTTGTGATACGGAAACTTGAACAAATTGTTTAATGATAGTAATGTTCGTGTATTGAGATTAGGAGCCTAAATGACAAAGTTGAGCTTTTTAGCAAATTTCTTTTAAGTTGATTTTACATTCGTTTATTTTGGGTAAATATCCTAATAGATTTCTTGTTGTTTATGAAGCACATCTCATTTTCAGTGCCTTCGGAGGTTCAGAATCTTGCCAAAAGGACAAACTCTGATGCATCAGTGACAATTTTATGGAACGAGCCATTGACCAAGGGCGGTGATGATCTGCGATATTTTATCACTGTTAATGATGAAAAGGGAATGTTTACCACCAAAATGAAATACACTGTTAAGCAAGATCTAGAAACGAAGAAGTATACTGTGTCTGTAAGTATGAAATTTTGATTCCTAAACTTTATATCAGTGTCCAGAAAATGTTTACACCTCTCGGCCGAAAACATGTTGGAGGTTTTATGAAAAGGAAAAAATTTCAGTTGACACATCCATATACATTATTCTTTGTTTTTTATAGAGATTTGATAGATTTTACTCGTAGACAATTGTGAACACAGGCTCATTCTAGCACTTTACCTTCAATAGAAAATCCCAAATAATTGTCACTTTGAGGGTATGTTGTTTCCTTACTTATGCTCCTTTACAGCAATTTGATAAAAAGGTCTGAAAATTAGTAAGAGTCTTGAAATTGAAAAGAATCTTCAAGCCAAAAATTGGTCTTACAAACTTAGCCTATTAAAAAATGTGCCTATAAGTTAAGCAGACTGCAACTTTGGTCAGATACCGGTAATCTGCTTTTCTACTGTGTTCTTCGTTACACTCAGTCATAATGTTACACAAATCAAAAGCAGATACCATATTAATATTATCATGAACTACGAATGCATGAAAAACTGAACAGATGGCATCACAATTGCTGAGAGCTATATGAAATAATGTGTACTCAACAAGGGAAATGAAGTGATCCAGTTTTTATCTGCGAGTGGTTTGGGTTGTCAAGTAGTCCAATGGGTTTATGATTTCATCAAACAAAGGCATCCTCAGTAAAGAAGGCTTTACATTAGCTTGAACTCTTCACTTTAAACTAAGCAGGCTATTGGTTCAATTTACAACATTTTCAGCTTTTAGTTTACCATTCTTGTAATATTTGACCTCTTTTAATGTGAATGTACTTTCATTCCAAAAATTGGAGAAAAACAGGTGATTCTCACAAATCGTTAGAGTTTTCATCTGGCCAAATTCTTTCGAGGTGGACATCATAGGCAAAGAAGACATGGGGGCTGGCAAATTTTTCAAGTAATCATACAACAGTTCTCGTATTTTGATCGTATTTCTGCCTCCTATCGGGCAACTCTATCTCGATTAAAAAATAATATTCGGGCAATATTTATACTATGTCTCCCTAAATAGTTAACATCCGCTTGTACCTTGTAATTCTTCTCCAATACGGCAGACATGCATACTCTGCATGCTACTATATTTCTTCTATTTGCACTAAACACCATGCTCGACAATTGTTTTAAAAAATCGAGATTTTAAGAGCAATGGGATTTTTAAAGATTTTTCGGAGATTTCTCTCGAAGAAAAGGATTTTTGTGAAAGGTGCCCAAAAATTTCGTGGAGCTGTATGCTCTTTGCAGGAGCTTGCTTTTTTCAACCTCCTATGCACAATAAGTTTTGCAAGTCATTCAATGTTGCCACACGTATGGGTTTCTACCTACTTTGGGGATTTTCAGAACTTTGTTGGTCTTTGGGAAAGCCTACAGGATTAATCAAGAAAAGTAGGTAGTCTTCTTGAAATTATAGTACCACCGACCTCTCTCGCAAATGCAAGATTTAGCTATGAAGAAAAATATTCAGGGAATGAACGTGAAACTGTAACCGATTGTACGTCAGTGTTATATCTTAGAAAAGCATCGTTTTTTTACAAGTTGAATAACTCTCTTACTATCTATACGGCTTTTTTGAAATAGACTTTTCCCCAAAATTGCTCTTAGAAGCATGCGTGGAAGTGGGTAGAAACGTAGTGATATTTTGAAAATTGTAGGGACCCGAGAATATAAATTGAGAGATAAATGGAGAGAACTAGAGAAAAGTAAATAGATAAAGATAATATAGAGTTAAAGAGGCAAGATAGAGAGAAAAAGCATTCAACTTGGCATAGGCTTTTGGAACGAAACTGGTGGCATTGAGGTAATGATTTTCTGTCATTTGGGCATTGTTGGTAAATAATACAGGTAAATAATTGATTCTGAAGTGTCTGCAGGAATTCAAAGCGTGGGCTTTTCTGCCTGCGCGCGACGCTCGCACCCTCGCGCAGGTTCACGGGGTCTGCTTAGAATATAATCTTTATGCAGATGCCTGCGTATTGAACGTTTCAATGATATTTTTATTTTCCAATTAGATAAAGGCACACACGAGCACTGGTTTTTCCAAAGAAGAAGTTATCAGATTTGAAATTAAAGGGAAAGGAAAGTATTAGCCAGTGGAAATCAAAATTGTTATCATTAACGAGTTACATTCATGTTTCTCCGCAGGCTCTTTAGTTTTTCATATCATATCAAAGTAGTGATGATAGGCCAAACCAAGTGTTAGCAAAGCAGAATGTTGAATAGAAGGCCCCTATAAGTCACCTTGAGTGATGTATGAATTATATATTGAATTCTTTTTACAGGTATTTCACTGACTTTGGTCATTGCTGTCGTAGTCACATTGTTTGTCTTACTCTTGATTGCTGGCGCTTTCATTGTATACTTCTACCGAAGGTACGTTTTTTCTGCTACATTTTTTTCCATGTTTTCAAGGAATTGAAATGACTTGATTCATGTTACGAATACCTTCATACAATTTTCATAATGTCCTCCTTTTTACAATTTTTCTTCCCTTATTTCAAACATTTTGATACAGTTCTTATCTCATTTTTGCATCATTTTTGTCTCTGTGCCATTTTTCCACCGAGTGACTCTTTATAATTTCAACCTACTTCTCTAGATTTGCCCTATGATGCGTATAGATTTGCTCTTTATTTGAATTACTCGCAGCCACGTAAATGGCAGGGGGTGTTTGGTTGTCACACCAGGGAAATCAGAGAAGTCATAAAGACTAAGTCATCATTCCATTAATTGATAAATCAATAATTCATAATTTTTTCCGTCATGGAGTAATATTACATAACGCTTATTCCAAGAATGTTTTCAATTAAGATAGGAAGTAGCAGAACTGTCTGACCTTTAGGTTCTGCCAGTAAAGCTAAGTATAATTTTAACAAAGTTACAATTGGCCTGTTTTTCAGTCGGAAATCTAGCACCTTTCACCCCCCCCCCCTCAACTAAAATATCCGTCAATTCAGGTCCCTGATTATTAGCTGTCACTTTCATGTCCAATAATATTTTATATCTTTGTCAATAAAATGTGTTATTTTCCTGTTTATCAAGGCGACATCCAAAGCATCTCCAAACTGTTCGACTTGAAAACGGGGAAGGTTCGTACACATTCGCTGTTAAATATTTCTTAAAATTTTCAATGTACCCAGCAATTCTTTCCCTAAATAGCGAATTTGTTGATCGTAAGTAGAAGTTTTGATAAATGTTTGTATATCATTTTCTTTCCCTAACAGTTAGTGTTTCCCATAATATTTCAGGCTTTTGTTTCTATTAATCGTTTCATTTTGACTTTTGATGTCAACCAATTACGATTTCAATTATTGTAGACTCAGGCCGGCAAATTCGTCCTGGAAATTTCAAGCATTTCTAAACCTGTCATAAAATTTTTAGCCAAAATCCAAATATTATTTAACAGTTAATTTGACACTGTCTTTGCTCTAAAGTGTGTAAATAATTTTAAGAAATTATTTGCTTTAGAACTAGCACCAATAGGTTGAGTCATCATCATCATCATGATCATTATCATTAGCAACCTTTTTTCGATGTTTGCTAGACAGTAGTTGTGCAAATAATTTACGCTAATATGAAGCATCTAAGAGATTGCATCATGGAAAGAACTGACTACTATCAGTACATGATGTGAAGCAGAATTTTTTGCCAGAGAACCAACTTCCGTTAAGAATTTTGAATTCATTTATATTTATGGATGATTCGCTTCAATTTTAAAGTGAATTCGAGATCTTTGGACCTAAGTAACTGAGCTACTAAATACCATGACTGATATTTTCCACATTTGGAATTCAAAATATTTGTTCATACATAGGTTTTTGCATGTGCTTTTCGAGAGAAAAATATCTTTCAGAAATTTTGTGTTCAAATTATGCAAAGTTTCAAACACCTTAAGGGCTTGGTTGACCTGATCCTAAGTTTCTCTTACCTTGTTCAGTGATTCTACCAAGTGGGAAAGGCGTTCAGAATTTTGTTAATCTGACCTATCAAGATTTTGAGGACGTTGTGCAACAGTTTGCTAACGAATTGGACCGCGGCTGGATCAAGCTAGATCGTTTGATTGGTGGAGGTGAGTCGGTTAAAAGTTAGGTTAAGAATGGCTTTTTTGATAGCTTGAAAGACTTGAAACGTTTTATCATTGTGGTAGATTCTTACAACTGCTATTTGCATTCGCGAATCGAGCTACATTTTTGTTTGCCTGCGTCACAAGAGTTAAATGTTTAAATTTCCCATTTTTTAACGATTGCATCAAAAACTGTTCAAGTGACAAACAAATGCCTCTGTGACAGGTGCAAACCTTGTTCTGCATTTATTATCATCCACCTAAATAACTGCTCTCATCTTTCTCGGCTCTGTCTTCTTTGATTCATCACTAAGAAGTTTTAATTTAATTTTTACACATTACACCGTCTTCTGTTGAAGATATCAGTGCTGCTCAACTTTCAGGAAATAAAGCTTCGCCCTGTAGACACTTCATAGTTGCTTTTTGGCCAAATTTTTTTTTCAAAATTAAACAATCGTATTAGAGATGCTCGAATGAATTTATTGTATTATTTATAAGGTGAAACGTTTTAGGCCTGAAATTAGATGTAAGGCCCACAACGGTAACATACAATTTAAGGCCTTGGCAACCATCATCTTGGCTTGTAGGCTTATGAGAATCGAAAAGGAATTTGTCGAATTCTATGAATTTTCTGCAATTAAAAATTATTCTTAGGTGAATTTGGTGATGTGTACTATGGAAAAACCTTCCGGAAAGGAACTATGGAAAAACCTTCCGAAAAAGCACAAATTGTTGCCGTCAAGACACTCAAGGTATAAGTTTGTGATCTTTCGTAGACAAACAGGATAGATGTTCTTCGTAAGACCTGGGATTCCAATGAAGCCGTGAAATCAAATCAGTTCTAGTGTAGGTTCTGAATACACTTACACTCCTCTTTCAAAAGTATTTGAATTGTTAGGTAAAATTGATGGCCTAACTCTTCCTTGCGACATGTAAGTGACAAAGTATTATTGATTCACTAAAGTGAGAGGAAAATAAAGAAATAGCGTTAAGAAAAAAAAGAAATAAACTAGCAAACACATCACAGACAGACAGGTCTTTCATACTATGATGTTGCAAAGGATGTAGGCTGCACAAAGTATGCTTCTTGAAAAGGTTGAGAAATTGCAGGTCAACAAAATTTCTGAGATGGGCAAAAACATTGTTGCAGGTGCAGGTTTTGTTATTCGGCGTTGTTCTGTAAACACCGCATATTATGTTGCTATCTTCCGAGAAAATCTTTCCAAAGCGCCAGAAATTTTTATGGATCATTTTCTCAGTGAAAACAGCAAACTTTTCATCTTTCTGTGAGTTTTCTTCATGTGATGATTGCATCAAGAACTGTGGCCAGGAAATCACAAACAACAGTGAAATTGGAAACGTTATGAATAGTCACTCCTGATTTATGAAAAATTGCTAGGGCTGCACCCATTTACAAAGATGGTGATGAAAGCAAAAAATCAAAATACCATCCAATATCGGTTCTGCAGCCATTTCCAGGCTCTTCAAAATTCTGTAACCAGTTGTACAAACATTTGAAAATTGAATGACCTGCTTGCAAATCCACAATCTGGTTTTCGTGCCTTGCACTCTACCGTAATCTGTCTGTTAAAAACACTGATGACTTGTACAGTGGTTTGGACAATAGGCAGCTCATTGGCTTGGTACTACTGATCGACTTTAGACAGGCATTTGACACTGTAGACCATAGTATTGTATGTCACTAATTAGAGCACTATGGTCTCCAAAAAACGCTGTTATCATTTTCTAAGTCTTGCTTTTCAATTTGCAAACAGTACTTAAGTATAAATGAAGTTGTATCTAAACTAATGGACATTAATATTGGAGTGCCCCAGGGCTCATGTTTAGGGCCATTGCTATTTCTTCTCTATATTTACCATCTACCACTAGCTGGCGGAAACTTCAAAGTAGCAGTGTACACTGATGATACTAGTCTCTCTTATCGATCTGATAACATTAACTAGCTAAATGATGCAATGAATAAGGACGTTACTAGAGTCTTGAAATGGTTGAAGGATTGTCACTTGATGTTGCTAGAACAAAAGCAATGGCTATTCCAGCGAAACAAAAGGAAATACAGGTAGCTAATAATAATAAAGCATTATCTTTAAACAGACAAGAAGAACGAATTTATAGTGTCCAAACTGCCAAATGTCTTGGAATACAATTAGACAACAACCTTAACTGGAAAGGTCACATCAGATCTCTGTCAACAAAATCAGTAGAGCAATTGGCTTTCTTAAACATGCGAAAGAACTTTTAACACAGAAAACTCCCAAGACATTTTATGCTTTATACTGGTACTGTGAAGCCCTCATTAAGAAACTGTTGCTTAGTTTGGGAAGACTATGCTGCAACCGAAAAAAACATTTGCAAAAACTTGAAATCGAACAGCAAGAATAATCACAAATAGCCTAATGCTAGACCACTGTTAAATGCTCTTGGACTCGAACCACAGGTTTAGATCAATACTGAATCTAACAATATGGTTATCAGACATAAGGGGCCCTACGGAGCCCTAATTAAGATAATGTTGCTTAGTTTGGGGAAACTGTGCTGCAACCGAAAAGAACCATTAGGAAAAACTTCCAAACCGAGCAAGAAGATTAATTACAAATAGCCGTTTAGATTCTGATACTAGACCACTTTTAAATACTCTTGGACTTAAACCACTTCAGGGTTAGATCAATACTGATATTAACACTTTCGTTTACAAGGCATTTAATTGACTAGCGCCAGAATGTTTATTGGACTTATTTGTAAGAAATTCAGGAAGTCATTTGCGGGCTCTTTGCAAAAACAATATAGATGCTTATCTTGGGCAAAAATGCTCATCTTGTAGCATACAGGCATGGAAAGCGTACAGGCATAAAATTATCTACCAGTAGACAGGTATCTTCCCTACATGTCTTCAGAACCAAAATTAGATACAACCTATTGAACTATATATCTATGTATATATTGTAAATTTATTTTGTATATATTTTATTTATTTTATGTAATGTATATATATTATATTATATGTTATATTATGAATTAGCTTTGGTTTTTATTTGCAAAATTGTAAATTAAATGGAAGGCCCCTTGTGAAACAAGAATTTGCTGAAGGGCTACTTTCCTTAAATTATTTGAAAATGAAAGAACAATTGTTTTCTCCTTTTTTGTAGTCAAATGCAAATAAAAAAGCAAGAGATGACTTTTTGGGAGAGGCAGCATATATGGGACAATTTGATGACCCAAATGTCATACATCTCGAGGGTGTGGTCGTTAAAGGTATACACACTTTTATAAGAATACCTATTTTTTTGCCAAGCCTCGATTTTCTTAAAAATTTCCGATTTTTTGCCCAAGATTATTCTTAAATTATTCTTGCAAATTATTCTAACACAAGTTGCAAATTCGCCTTAAGCCCATTCTTAAAATTTAAAAATTTTGAGCCTCAATGTTCTTATAGACTTTATTCTTATAAAAAAGTGTGTATAATTTATTTGCTTTGAAGGAATATCTTTTCCAGATCTTCTGATAGATTTGTAGATTTCTTTGTTTGTGAGCATGCAACTCAATGCCTAGCCAGTCTACCCATGTGCAATCTACCTTGTAACAACTTAGCTTGCATATAAGTTCTTCTCGATATTTATGATCTGAAGCACTTCCTGTCTCGTTCCGGGAAGCACAAATTACGTGGTCTTCCAGTTTGTCTGCCAATGCTTATAAAATATTTACTCTTTTTTAGACCTTCCCATATTGATTGTCATGGAATTCATGAGCAATGGATCGCTTCAATCCTTTCTACAAGTATGCTAACTAAATTTCAATTTACTCCCTCAAACTTTTGCAACTTGTTCAATTAGGTATGAGTATATAGTTAACCTAATCTTTATATTGAAATCACCTTTATGAATCAATCTCAATTAAGCAAAAATAATACTTTAAACTAGCTGCTTTCATAACTAAAGCCAATTGAATGTCCCATCTTGGATCAGTTTATAAGCAGTTGAAAAGTTTAGAATCCTTTGTTATGTACTGTTGTTTTGATATAGCTGTTAGAACCCAGTTCCCTTGTCATAACTAATGAAGGGGCTAGGTACTCCTTATATTGTTTTAGTAGGAAAATGTGTGGAAAGTAGGAGGCGTGGTCGCACAAAACAGAGTGAAAGCAGTCCGCCAGTGCTTTTAAGGCATCTGAATAAGCGCCAGTGCTTTTAATGCCGGGTCGAAATTTTAGTTCATTTTAACTTGTATCAAAAATATTCTAATTATGTTCCATTGCTATTTGTCCTTCTTTGGCTTATTGTGTCTCTCAATCTGAAGAAATGTAACAGAACTTTCTGTCTATCTCCACAGAAAAACGATGATCAATTTACTCCACTCCAGTTACTAGGAATGGCAAGGGGTGTGGCTTCTGGAATGACGTATCTGTCTGAAAAGAGCTACATCCACAGGGTAGGTGTTGGTTTTATCGTCAATCAAAGCTTTAGTAACCGTCTACCTTGTATTGCCTGTACAAAATTGAGATTCAGCAAAATTTTCTTTCGAATATTGTCATTAGAATAATGTAGAAGGGGATCCGGACTAGGTTCGTTTTCCATTGGTTCTGTTTCCAAAGAATGCCAGTTTTCTATTGAGAAATGATTAGATTTGACGGCTGGCAAATATATTATGATAATAGCAATTGCAATAGGATAAAATACACTCAATTTTATATGCAGTCATCGGGAAAAATGATACATTTTCAAATATGCGCACACTGTTTTTAAACTTTGACAGTTAGCGCATAATAGCAGTCCTTAAGTATTGTCACGTTTACAAACTGTACTCCTAATTTAACTTATGTTATCATTTCAGGATTTGGCAGCCAGAAATATTTTAGTAAATGATGACATGGTTTGCAAGGTTGCTGATTTTGGAATGAGCAGAGAATTGAGCAAGGATGATACATATGACACAACGGTAATTGAATGTTTCATTCACTGATTTATATCCTATTGGCAGATGACAAACAGATATCTTTGAGTTATACTAAATTCATGTCAGATCACCTTATCATATTTGCTGTTCTTTTCTTATTTGTCATACTGGAGCAGAATAATCATCTTTAGCTCTATGTAAAGGGTAATCTCTTGCAAGCACTGGGATCTATTACCCATCTTGCTGCCCAGAATCAAAACATTTGCTGAGCGTATATTTGTTAAAGAGAATCTTCCTCCTTCATCGATCATTACTTTGTTTTCGTGGCAGATACACAGTAGTATTGAAAATCTTCTGAAACTGGAACTAAAATTTCTTAACTGTAAGCAATTTGCTGTTGCTTATCGGGCTACAGCCAAGAAACTACAATCCCGGACAAAATTGATTGAGACTTTGCAAGGAATGCTTATATTTTCACTGTTCTTTCAAAAATAACTTTGCCCCTCCCCCAATTCAATTTTGAGTGCATGATTGTGAAGCAAAATTGTTGAACTTCAAAACCAACATTGCTTCGGGGGAAAAGGGGGATTCGAATTTGCAGGGGCAAGGTAAATTAGACAATTACGAGAATTGCCTTTTGTCTCAACATTTTTGTCCGGGATTGTAGGTCTATGGCTATGCATAGCTGTTGTTGTCAGCTTCCATTAATCATGTGACTAACCTTTGCAACCCAAACCTTTTTTGTCTAAATAAATTTCGCTATAGATCTAAGCTCAGGGCCCACGCTACAGTGGGAGGCAGGGGGCCATGCCCCCATTTTTATTTGGTAACTATAGGTATCAAATCCTCCTGTTTGGTATTAAATAGGTATCAAATCCTCCTTTTTGGCTCCCCATTTTAGAATCGGTGGCGCAGGCCCTGAAGCTTGTAAACGAGATCATTCTTGATATACTTCTACTTAATTTTTTTTTACAGGGTGGTAAGATCCCTGTCAAATGGACAGCACCGGAAGCAGTCCAACTTAAGAAATTCACTATTGCTTCGGATGTTTGGAGTTATGGTATCCTGCTTTGGGAGGTAATGTGTTACGGAGAAAGGCCATATTGGAACTGGGGCAATAATGAGGTATATTCGTTAGGGAAATTTACTTTATACTTCCCCATCGTTAGGGAAATGCTTGTAACGATAATAATAAAAATTGGGCAATGCGATGACTTTAAAGTCACTATTCTAAACCTGAATAATGGAAGTTAGCGTCCTTTCGTTATTTCCTTACTTGGTCACCAAGATCCTAAGCTTTTAAACTCTTTGAATCCATTTTCTATAATGGTAGGGGGAATATTGTTTTTTGACAATTCTCAAAGATTTTGGCAATCATGTTATGATTTTCTTTAAAGATGAATCAAGCAGAAGAAGTTTTTTTAACTTTTGTTAATACAAATAAGGAAAAGACCAGTACGAAAGACTTAGCAATTAAACAGACGTTTGGAAAATCAAACAGTTGGAAAAAACTTATAGTTAAGCAGTATACTTTAAAAAAAAACGCCTAAAAACAAAATATATGTGTACAATAAAGGAAGGAAGAATATTTAATTTCTTTTTACGATTGGCGGATTCTTTTCTGAACTGAAATCTCGATTTAAGCCTAAATTCTTTTTTTAGGTGCTTGAACGTCTGGCTTCTGGCTTTAGACTCCCTCCGCCAATGGTATGTTTTACGTTTTTAAGTCTCTAGATTTCATAGATCTTTACTACAGCTTTTCATAGCCTTTCTTTGATCAATTACCCAAGATATGACAAATATGCCATGCTCTGTTCTTTTTATATCGAGGCTACACCTAGCTTAAACATTGTCTGCTCTTTGTTCTTTTCGCTGCTTATGTTTGTGAGCTTTATCTGCTTTAAACCCTAGAATCTATATCGGGGTACTACAATGCCGACGTAAAAGCAGTTGATTTTTCCTGATCCATAGACTTCCTTGCAGCAGCATTTTTGATCTAAAGATTTTCCGAATTAGGTTCTTAATTTTGTTTTTTCTTCACATGTTCTCATCATGTGCAATAAACTTTCATTTTTTATGGGTTTCTGTATGTAGGATTTAAATACTTATACATACTAATAGAATTTATACTTTTCAAAAATTAAGAAACTAACTAAGAACCTATTTAGCCTTAACTGTCAATAAGTACCTCATAAAACAAGAACCTGTTTTGCCCAACTCTGAAAAAAGTAGGTTTTTACTTTACCATACGGTAGGTTGCTTCACGACGCTCCTTTTTTCTTCCCGCTGTTTGTAAACTTTGAAACGCTTTACTCTCTCCTTGCTTCCCAGACTCCCTCTCTTCTTAGCCCCTCCCTCTTTACATAACCTTACATTGGCCTCAGATCTTACATAACCAAAGAAATTCTGTTTACTGTTTTTGAATTCATCAACGGAACTATTTTTCCGTTTTTTACTTAAGTAAATACTTAAAAAGCAGCTGTTTATGATTGAAAATCTCTTGCAGAGCTGCCCTAAAGTTGTACATGATCTCATGTTATCTTGCTGGCACAAAGATCGCGTGAAAAGACCCAAATTTAAGGACATTCGTGGCACGATTGATAAGTGGATCCAGAGTCCGGAGTTGCTGAAACACGAGGAATCGGTTGTGACAAGGCGATATGTTACAAGGCATCTCCTTTCAATATTTAACAAAGCTATTAAACTTGAATATGAAGTAAATCATTTTGGTTATGCGATAGATACTATATTGGACGCTACAGTAACTTTTGTCTCTGGTGAAGGGGGGAGGGGGGGGCGGATGCTACTAACAAACATACGTGAAAATTGGTCTAGATGTTTTCTATGTGCGCGCATATATTATTATGTGTGATATTCAGGAGAATCAGGGGACTGGATCATATTTGTATCTCTCATATTTGTTGACAAGTACCCCTTACCTATTTCTGAAGAGATTTGACATCCGAAAGCTCTTTGCACTCTTTGCCAAAAACATGTTAATATTGGAGTCCACGATGTGTCAGTTTTTTTGAAAATATGTTTTTAAAAATATGAGCTTGGAATTTATTCGAAACATCTCAAGTGATGTTAGGATCCTTAATTAGGGCATTTTAGCTTGCTTCAAGGAAAGAAGTTTTCTTTCAAAAATTGATAATTTTTTACTTTTTATGCATATCCAGGGCCACAGTTTTTTGAAAAAGGCTAAAAAATGATTTTTTGACTGACAATATAAGCTAAAAATTTATCAAATACACCTCAAATAATTTTGCAAACATAAGAAACGGCAGTTTTGGTTGCTTAAAAAAGTAATTTTTGTTGATTGTGACCAGTTGTTTATTGTGACGTCTTTTAAAGGTTTTTTGTGATAGAAATTTTCAAATTTCATCTTAACGTTTTCTTTCAGATCTGACTTCTAATGTCATGGAGGTATCTTGAAGTGATAACAAAAAGGTATTTTATGGCATTTAATGTTTTTTTACAACGATAAAATTATTCTATATTAGTTGATGATTTCTAATTTTTGCATATCCGGGGTCATTGTTTTTTTTAAAATGAGTAGTATTTTTGTTTCAGAATATCTGCTCGAAATTCATCCAAAACTTGTGAAATTATGTTGAAAACGTAAATTAAGGCATTTTAGGTTGCTTGAACAAAGTTTTTTCCCGAAAATTGACAATGTTTGATTTTTTTTGCATATCCTGGGTCCAACCATTTAATGAAAAAGACTAGGATGTTTATCTTGATGTATGAGCTTGACTTTCATCAAAAACACTAAAACGATGATGTGAAATTAAAATGATGTTTGAAACGACAATCAAGGCATTTTAGGTTGTTTCGTGAAAAAAATTACTTCTTTCAGAAAAATAAATTTTTTTTAGCTCTTTTCTATTAAAGGTCAAAGTTTTCTTGAAAATAACTTGTCTTATCTTAAAAATTTATCTTATAAATAACTTATCTCTGAATATTAGCTTCAAATTCATCCAAAATTCGTCAAATGGTGTTTGAAACCTAAATTAAGGCGTTTTAGGCTGTTTTGAGGAAAAAGGAATTTTCCCAAAAATTTACAATTTTTTATTTTTCAATTTTGAAAGTGATCATCGAAGTTTGTTAAAAGGACAAGGGTTTTGAGGTCATTGGAACCGATGGTTCTTATATTTTCCCCTCCATTTGTCCCCTCCATTTGCCCCCTCCATTTGCCCCCTCCATTTGTCCCCCCATTTGTCCCCTACATTTGTCCCTTCCATTTGATCCCTCCATTTGTCCCCTCCATTTGTCCTCTCCATTTGTCCCCTCCATTTGTCCCCTCCATTTGTCCCCTCCATTTGTCCCCTCCATCTGTCCCCTCCATCTGTCCCCTCCATTTGTCCACTCCATTTGTGCCCCCATTTGTCCCCCCATTTGTCCCCTTCCCTTCATTTGTTCCTTCCATTTTCCCCTCCATTTGTCCCCTCCATTTGCCCCCTCCATTTGTCCCCCAATTTGTCACCTCATTTGTCCCCTCCATTTGTCCCCTCCATTTGTCCCCTCCATTTGCCCCCTCCATTTGTCCCCTCCATTTGTCTCCTCCATTTGTCCCCTCCATTTGCCCACTCCATTTGTCCCCCCATTTGTCCCCTCCATTTGTCCCCTCCATTTGTCCCCTCCATTTGTTCCTCCATTTGTCCCATCCATTTGTCCCCTCCATTTGTTCTGGGTTTTCTCGGTCTTTATGTCTTGGGATTGAAAGCCAAGCACATTTATCATTTAGCTGATTGATTTTATGTAGATGATCGAGTTTCTTTGCGTCAGTCAGCCTTGCATAATCGCTTTTGTATTGAATGTGCATCGTGTGTCTCTTTGCATGTTTTTGTTCTCTTAATTGGCTCTGTTCATGCCGTTTGGCGTTTTTGTGTCCGTTACTCAAACAGCATTTGCATCGTAATGCGTAAATAACATTACTAGAGTTGCAATCCAGTCTTTGTTTTAAGTCGTAGTTTTTGTCAGTGTTAATAAAGATAAATGTGGTAGTACCGTCTGTGGTATGCTGGATGGAAGGAGCCAGTTACTGCTGTGCTTGAAATTATTGCATTGTAACATGAAAACATTGCTAACACATTTCCTGCTTTATCGGCAACGAATGAAGTGGAGGATATTTCATCATTCACGACCTCATGGTCAGGTTTGACTCTTTTCAAGGTTCTGTGATGAAATTTTCCCAGGATGGATTGTTGATCCTTGTATAAGTTATTGTAAAATCAATCTGGTTTCTCTAATCACCACCAGGAGAAACCCAGATCCAGGAGCTCTTGTGACTTCATGAAGAGGGCATTAGTAAACAGGTAATTTTTCTTTTACAGAAATTGGCCAAAGTGTGTCCATAGAAATCACAAAGTGACAACTTTCCAACAGAGAATTCATTCCGTATTGATACACAATGAATCCTTGCGTCCTAGAAAATGTGCGGCTCTCGAATTTAGGTGGCTCTGGTACCCGGGATACTTTTTGCTTGCATACTCAGGCTATTTCTTCTAAGCAATGATGATTTTATTTCTCTTTCGAAAAGGTTGCAGTTGTTAACTTTGGTGACTTGTAGACAGTTCTGCCCTGGTCGTGTCGCTTGCTTCTCTATATCTTATTCTACTTTCACTAAGATCTATTTATGGTTTAAAGAGAGCTGAAAATTTCAATTCTCTCTGAGTTTCCTCTCAATTCAAAATTCCTTTCTCTAGTTCCTTTAAATGCATTTGTGTTCTGTTTCCTTTCGGCTGCCGTTAATCATGCATGTTTTGCCATTGCGAATTCCAAGACTTCCTGGACTGTATATTGCACCATCGCAGACGTGATTTTGATTTATTACAACCATTTGGATATGCAAATCTTCCAAACAACGATCGAATGCTGATTTTTTGTATGGTGATAAAAACTTTTTTGACGAATTCAATAGAAATTTACTTCTCCTCACTCTCCAATTCATTCATAAATCTGACCGATTTGATTAAACCAACTTCATTGTAGACCAGCAAACGCAGCCATTTGGTCCTATTTGAAGTAAAGTCCCGTTTGGCCCTATTCTGTTTTGTTTTAACTTTTTATTTTCGCAAACTGTTTGAGACAGTCAATTGTAGTTTTATGTAATGGTCCTGCAGTAATCACAGCCTTCTGCTTCCTATAGTGGCGTTCCCTGTATTGTAGTAAAGTAATTTTTGGTAGTAGCGTAGTTTGTAGTATGTATTGTAACTTTTTAGTGGAACCTGATAAAAATTGTGTCATCAATGCTACCAGCCCTCATTTCGACATGTTTTACACTTAGACTGCAAAGATAAATCCGTATTTCTTTTATTTATTAAATGAGAGAATTACCATGCAAAAGAAGTTAATGGATAAACTGAATACGCTAACGTTACATAGAATGACTTTGGCAATCTCTTGTTCTTACAGGCACCGGGGAGCAGAAGGGGGAGGCTTTGCTATCTTTTGGCCCCCCCTCTTTTTTCAACGCTCTGCGGTGCCTGTTTTAGGGAGAAATGTTTGTTTTTCTTCGTTCTTTAAATTTTTAAAGTCCTGATTTTTAAAGATACTGATTTTTTCATAAAATTCAGTTTCTTTAAAGAAATTTTGAAGATGGCCAACGAAGCAACTTAGAAACGTGAAGAAGGAAATTCCTTGACTTTTTTGACTGTTGCTCTCGTTTCGATAGTTCTCAACCCTTTTTATAATTGAAAGGCCCGTATAGCTTCGCTCACTTTTTCATTAGAACTTATAATAAGAACAAGAAGATATGCAAGAAAATGTTCTCTCCAGAAACATCTTTACGATAAATTTGAACGAAAATAATAATGGTAAAAATTGATACTACTTTACTAAAATTGGTTGGCTACTGTTTGCCATTAACAAGGGGGCTCAGCCCCCCGAGCCCCCATAACACTACACCCCTGATCTGTTGTGTATATCAAATCGTTCAAAATGTTAACTGACTTAGAACTACTTATAGGAAATTCTTTATTGACGAAAAGTCAAGAGCATAGTTAAAATTTCCAAGTAAAGAATTCCTCCAACTAAACAAAAACTGGCTTGCGAAGAGAGGGCTGAGCCCCAAGAGTCCCCCTTCATGGCACCCCTGCTTTTTCTGTGGAGTCTTTTTATGAGCATACATCTATTGTTAACGTAAGGCTTCTTGGACTTTTTCTTGCTTAGTTAGATACTTCAACTGTATACTGGATTGGTAAGGGATATATTGCAGATTTTGTAAAAAATAATATTTATACTTCTTGTAGTTCGGTATCGGTTCAAAATAATAAGAATTTTGAACTAAATGTCATATTTTTCACGTGCCATATCTGAATTAACTGATTTTCGCCATTTGTTGGTATGATAATACTATAATATTTTTATTTTAAATCAAATCAAATAGAATTAAATGTTGTACTAATCGGTGATTCGGTTGTGTTCCTTCTGGCTACATTCTTTTCCTTATGTTAGAATATTGTTTATAAGAATATTAGGGTCCAGAATCATCCCATTTTTTAGAATATCATAAAAATATTGCTCAATCTCAGCTCCCATTTTTATCCTTCATTCTTCAGCTGCCTGTTTTGTGATGTTGATGACAGAGAATTGCATGACTCGCATATCTCATTTTCTTCATAAACCGTGGTTTCTATGCAGGTATGAGCGATGTTACCCTGAAACCAAATCAGATTCATTCATTGGGTTCGGTGACAAGTTGTGATTTTTACAAAAATAAAAATAAAACTTCCGAAAAAGAAGAGAGAAGAAAAGAGAGTTAGTACATGAAGTCGGGAACTTTCTGCCTTTGGCCCTTTCTGCTACGGCTGGATCTTCGTGGCTCTTCTTTTTTGGCCTGCCTCCAGAGTGCTCGGTCCTGGGCGTCCTTCGCTGTGCAGTTTTTCTGCGCCATGTCTTTCGAGACGGTCTGCGCGATGTTGTGCGCGGGCCGCCCCCTTCGTCTTTTCTTGCCCTTGGCAGTTTCCTCGTACATCTCCATCGCCGCGCGGGCGGGGCCCCCGTGTCACAGGATATGCCCGACGAAAGCCCATCTTCGCCGGTCCACCTCTGTCGACACTTTTTCACACCCGCGCGACGATACACTTCGTCGTTAGGCAGCTTTGCTGGGTAGAAAACACGTAGCACTCTCCGCAGGAGCCTTCTGTGGCAGGCGTCCAGCGCGTCGCGATCTGCCTCACCGAGGTCCCATGTTTGGCAATTGTACAGTAGGACCGGCTTCACGTACACGTTGAAGGCTCGGATTCTTGTGCTCGCAGCGAGCTTTTCATTTGTCAGCACGTGGTGGTGATGCGAGAAAGCGGCTTGTGCCATTTGTTTTCTGTTCTTCATCTCTTTTTTGATATCAGTGAAGGAGCCGAGGATCTTGATTTGATCATTTCTTTCCTTGTTTTTCTTGTGTCTCTCCGTCTTCTGTGCGTTGACCACCAAGTCGAAACGTCCGAGAACCTGGGCCGCCTTCGTTTCGATGTCGTCAATGATTCGCGGGTCTTTCGAGATGAAGTTTTTGTCGTCACTGTAACACATCTCGACAATCTCTTCGAACTTGGGAACCGATTTGAAATCAGATTTGAAAGAATAATACTTTAAGAATACATTCAGGCTAAAAGCGAACATTTCTAGGGATTATCGAGGCTGGAAAAAAATTAATACACATTCTTTTATAAGAACACTTGGCTCCAGTGTAAGCCTGTTGCCTCTTATTTTTTCACATAAATTTAGCCTAACGTGTTTCTTATTTTGTTTCTTATTTTTAAAGGAATTTCCTGTGCATAGTAGTGTCCGGACATGGCATGTGTTTGATAAAGTAATTGATGCTATTTTACCTATCACTTTCTAATTTTCTGTTTCTTTTTCTTCATTTTTCAATTTTCGCTGTTGTTTTATCTCTTGTTTTTTGTTTAATTTCAGCTTGTCTTGTTTGTTATGTTGTCCTTAATTTTCGGGAAAATCTCAGCCTGGTATTTTTTATAAGAGTAAGAGTTGTTCTTGTATAAAAAGCGTGTATTGCATAAACTTAAAACTTTTATGATACCTTCTAAGGATGTGTTCTTTAATGAACAACAATTAGAATTTTCATTAGTTATTTTCTTTTCACTTAACTTTGGTGGCAAAGTTTGCATTTTTGATAGAGGGCAAAATGAATTTAGGAGCAGTTTTGGTCCCATGTATCTTTGAAGTCGCGTAGCAATTTTAAAGCCATTTAAAGTCTTGAGTGAAAAACAAGCTGAAAAGTCTTTCAAATTGTAGAGCAAGAATTTCTTGACCATTTTAACGTTGTGTTAGCTCATCAAAAAAATGTTATGCGAACTTTACGTGTCAGGATGTGTGTTCTGGGGAAGGGGGTGGGGAGGTTAAATTTTGCAGCTCGGATTTCTGTCACAGGCAAAAAAAAACTCGTCTAAGCTTAAAGAATTTGATGAAGATGTGTGGATTCAATGTCGCAGTGAATATTCAAGTGGTGAGAATATAATTATCAACAAAGGGTCATATAAAATGAAAAAGGAAATTGTAATTTCCACAACAAAAAAACAAACATCTGAAAACATCTTCTTTATTAAAAATGCCTTTACTGTTTTTAGCAGTCCTTCAAGTTCATCATCATTACTGACGTAGAGTTTCAGGTCATCCATATAAAGCAGATGATTTATCTTCTTATTCCCGATCTTGTATCCATACCAAGTATCATACAGGAGTTGGGACAGCGGTACAAGTCCCATGCAGAACAGAGGTGAGGAGAGAGAGTCACCCTGGAAAATTCCACTTTTTATGTGCATACCATTAGCATTCAAAATTCTGTTTGAATGGGAAAGAGTAAGGTTAGTTTCCCACAGCTTTATAAATGTTCTAAGAAAGTTAACTAGCACAGGGAAGACTTTGAAAGTTTCTAGACAATGTAAAATCCAGAAATGGGGAACACTGTCAAAAGATTTTTTGTAATCTATCCAAGCAGTACTCAGGTGTTTGTGTTTGGTTTTGGCATTTTCTAGTATCATTTTATTAATTAGCAATTGATCTTTGCAACCATACGATCCTTTCCGACAGCCTTTTTGTTCAATTGGAAATATTTTGTGATCTTCCAGATGTGCGTATGTTCTTTCAGTGAGTATAGAGGTTATAAGTTTGTAGGTTGTTGACAGGCAGGTTATTGGGCGGTAGTTTTTGCGTTTGCAGTTTCGTTATTTTTGGCGAGAAGATAAGTAGTACCTTGGCAAAACCATTTAGGTGTTGTCGTTGGGTCTGTCATTAATTTATTGAAGTTTAATTCTAATTTTGAATGTGCTGAGTGTTGAGTGTGAAGCCAGAAGTTTGGGATTTGGTGATTTCTGGTGATTTCCACTTGTGAGACTTTCTAAGAGCTTTTTGTATTTCTTCCACTTTTATTTCTCCCCATTCCTGTTCGGGGATATTATTCGTGTTGCTTTCGAAGATGTTCAGCCATTCAGAGTTCTCATTATGCCTTTTCTCTTTTCCCCAGATATTGTTCCAGAATTCATATATTTGTCCTTCTGACGGTATTTCATCTAGAGTGATATCTGATTTTCCGATTTCTCGGTAGAACTTTTTAGGGTCTGTTTCAAAGATTTTGTTCTGTCTATAGAATTTATTCCGTTTAATGTACCTCCGTAGTCGCTGAGCCTTAACTTGTAGTTTTTGCTTTAGTTCTTCCTTAATAGCTGGTACTTGGTCTTTGCTTTTTATCTTATACTTTCGCAGAACTTTTCTAGCCTTGCCAGGTTTTATTTCTTTATCCTTCTGAAGCTCTTGTAGAAGAGAAATCTCCTTTCTATGGTTCTTGATTTCTTTATCAATTTTTACTTGCCATTTCGGTTTACTAGGCTTACATACAATTCTTTTCTTTCTCTTAGGTTTGACACCACACCTTTTTTGGATTACTTTTCCTGTTGCATATATAAGTTCGTTTAGTTCTGTAAGGTTTGGGTCGGTTTCCTCACATAGTTGTTTTAGGGCTTCGTTTCCGACCTCAATTATATTTCTGTATTTGTTGGTATGTCGAATTTTCAATAAAGGCTCTCGCTCATTAATGATAGCAGGCTGGATAAGAGATAATTCTTCCAAAATATCCGTTCTCATCTTCACAACTTCCTCTTGGTTCAACTTTCCTTTCTGTTCTTCATCATTCTCCAGACCATGTTCAGGACCATTCTCAACAGCGTTAGGCACAACAACATTCTCAGCACCGTCCTCGACTTCCTCAACGTCCTCTACTCGTTCTTCTGGCTCGTCTTCTCGGGTATCATTTACAACAGTTTCATTGATTTGTGCGCTTTCAACTTCAGTCAGTTTTTTGCTGCGCATAATAAATCTCCTCAGATTTGCTACAATCCTTGACAAAAGTCCTTGGAACACCCTGCGACCAATGAAAGATTTTGAAGAAATAAAGGTTTCCGGCTGTAAGATACAGAAATATCCCCCCTCCCCCCAAAAACAATGTTGGCTGAAAAGCTTATTACTTACCCTAGGTGATAAACTGACATTGGATGACTTTCAAACTGTTGTTATTCAACATTGTTTCAAGGGGGAGAGGGGGATGCTACTGAAGTTATGCAAAATTTCAGCTTGGTGAACCAAGACTTTTGGCAAGGATTGTAGTTTATTTGAATATAATCCTTCAATGTTGTCACTCTCACTGTTGCGTGAGCACCATGTAACAAAAGTGTCCTCAGTGTTGTTTGTTTGAGGTTTTTCAAGTGCGTAGTAAAAAAAATACATTACTTCCTTGTATTCTTCTCTACTCCACCTTTTTCTTTTTTCTTTTTGTTGTCGTCTTTCATTTTTCTACTTGGGTTGAGATTATGTAATGTTTTATATATTTCTGTAAGAAGCAGTTGCAGACTTTTATCATGGATAGACGTCGAGTTGTCTTTTTCAAGAAGATTTTGAAAGCTTGATTCATAGTCATCATAGGCAAGACGCAAAGACTTTTCATGAATTTTATTTTTTCTGTTGTTCATCTGTCGATCACAAAACATCCAAATTAAAGGGCAGTAGCTAAATTGTGATAAAATGAAGACGTGCATGGTCTGTTTCACTTTTCTATCATCCATGTAGTTGGAGATTCGGGATACAGCATGTAGCTTTTGGCTGGCCTTTTTACATATCGATTGTACGTTTCCTTTGAACGACAAATTATTATCAATACTTATTCCAAGAAGTTTTTGTTCTTTACTTGGTTTAATTATCGTTTTATCTATTTTCAGAGATGTGTCATTGCTGCCTTTACCAAAATTTATAAGATGGCATTTATCCCCATTCAGTTTCATATAATTATTTTTAAACCATTCTCTCAAAATAACTGCGTCTTGTTCTAGTGTTTTAATAGCCTGCTTAATGTCTTTGTGGATGACATATAGCGTTGTGTCATCAGCATAATTGCATATTTGGCTATTTGATATAAACATAAACATGTCATTTATGTATATATTGAACAAGAGAGGTCCCAAAACTGATCCTTGTGGCACACCTACCCTGGATGCAACCGTCATACATCCAACTCTATTAAAAGACTACCTTTTCTTATCAGTATGTTAATGTTTACACCAAAAAGCAACGCACGAATTAACCATCATAATAGCCAAAGACCGAGATGCAACTTTTTGTTTGGGGGGGGGGGGAGGGGCAGCCCTGATAAATAAGCGTAACAACAGCCTTATTTTACAAAGCAAAAATATCTTAATTATGCTACATAGGCTTTTTTTGGGGGCAAATACTCAGGTATCTCGGTCCTTGATAACAGCGATATGAAACAGAACGCCAGACACTGAAAGACACTTTTTGCCGTGCAATGCGGAAATCAGTATGCTTCACTGCCTCACTACAGAGTTATCCCTCTAGCGTACTTTACACACATCATTGGTTTGCATTTACATAACAAAAATCGAGCCCTCAACCGAATTCAGGCTAGTTTGTCTAGTGTAACCAGGGCTAAAGTTTCACGCGGAAGTGGAATTGAGATGACTGCTCAATGGTGTCGAGTGACGATTGTGTATCAAAAATATAATAACATTTAATAGTAATAACTTCATAGACTTGTGTGTATTTGGTATTGAAGAAAGGCAGCAAGTTTGCCATTTGTGGCTTCATCGACTGTTTTGCAGACTTAACTGTTATAGTTTATCTGCTTTAGTCTATCACTGCGGCCGAAATTGAGAATTTGCTTTTATACGAATCATTGACTGATTGTTCTACGAGCAGGCCATTTATTTTGGTGATGTTTTTTTTCGTTCAACTTCTTGGCTGGTAGGTCAACGAGAGAGACAGTTGCAAGGTAGAAGATGTTATGTAGTATCATTTGCTAGCTCACCAAAATTTGTGGGATGGTAGCAATTGCTGTCGGTCACGTCCATCATGGGAATAAAATGGAAATGGCATCCCATTTTGGGCCTAGTCCTGTTAACCTTAGGCTGTACTGTGAATCTTACCAAAGGAACAGAAGGTAAGCAGTGACTCTGTTGTTGCGCAAAGCAACATTGTCTTTATTGCTAATTTTTTAGTCATTCGGTGTATGGGACTAGGTAATGTCTTTATCTGAAAAACTCTCAGTCTGTTTGTATCTACAGGTTTCTCCGTGACACGTGAAGAATAACTACAAAAAGTCTCTAGATTAAAAATTGGCATAGATTAAAATTTTAAGTAAATAATATATACTGAACTTTCTTTAAAAAATTTCATCTCTTAGTTTAAAAACCCCTCTGGAAGATTGAAATGTTTTACATGGATTTTCTCAAGTGAAAATAGTGGCAGCAGGCCTTCCTGAGAAAAGATTAGCGATATGAGGAGTTGTTTGTGAAGTTATTCGAAATATGATATCTAGCTTCGCATCTCAATAGGAAAATTGTATAGGAAAGTCGATCGACGATATGTGATTTGCCTAGATAATGACCGTAAGAAAATCGATGATAACGATGCCATATAGATTTTGCCAAAACAAAGGATTATCGGGAGACGGTATGGTTTTTACACTACCCTGAAAGACCCCTGGAAAGTTGTCCTCATTTCCTGTGAAATTTCGTGTGGTAAGGACCAGAGAAGCGTTCGCCCTGCAATCGAAGGATTTGAAAATGAAATTAATCCCGAGAAAATCAAGAATCATATTGATAACTGTGATAATAGGGGAATAAATAAGTTTTGTAGCTAGATATAAGGTCAAGGGAAAATTAAATTCTCAAAGCAAAAGATTTTGAAAAAGCTCTTTTGTTTTGAAAATAATAGGAGGGCCATGATGTATAAAAAATGAGTTTCAATTTGAGATTGTGTATCAGTGACATACTATTGTATTTTTTCATCATCATGATTTATGCTTTTTTATTTATAGACTGTCATTTCTTTTCAGTTCCTGTTTCATTGCCTGAGCTTGAACAGTGGAGGATAGTCAAAAATGGCACTGATCCTTCAGTTTACAATATGGTAAGTATAAACACGCACCATGAAGAACTACACATAAATATTTCATGGCAAGGGAACATGGTATGGTAATAATCGTTGTTATTTTAACAGGAAATAAGTAAAAACGACTAGGAAACAAGAAGAAACAAGTAGGAAATAAATAGGAAACAAGTAGGAAACGGGTAGGAATAATCAGAAATAGGTATGAACGACTATGAAATAAGCAGAAATTGGTAGGAAAAATTTTCCACTGCGGCTGCTGTTTAATTTTACGCCTGAATTCAACTGTTTAGGGACTTACAAGAACATAATGGGGGCTTTGGGGTTAGGCCCCCTCTCCCTAAACATTCAAACATTGTTCAAGTGATTTTTCACGTACATTTGAGTTCGTTCTTTTAGTTTCTGTTGTTTTCGCTAAACGATAAAATAAAGAATACCACTGGATTTAGTAACATGACCACTGCGGTCACACTAGGTTTTTAAGCAAGCTTTCTTTAAAGGTGTCGTGCTAATCTCCTTGCTAAATTTTTCTGGAATTTGGCCGGCTTGATGACCATGCCCATGTGGATGGGTAAAATTTCCTCTCTTTTGAAATTTCGTCGTTTCCGCTAAGTTACAAATCGTTTCATGAGGTTTCTTTGTCGTTTCATCTCGTTTGTATTAGTCTCTTGTTGTTTCACGTTGTTTCTTGTTATAGTAAACGCGGGAAATAATAGATTTTGGAATGAAGTGAGAAGAACAATTCAGGAAAACCGCTTTGGTCTTGCCATGACTCTATATATGCAGACTCTAAGTAAGGATAAACTACCCTGTCCAGTGGGAGAGTGCTGCAACACTCACAGTCTAACCTATCAGCCTATAGAATCAGGCAATATAAACAAGGAACATAATCAGGTTAAGCGTCTTTTTGCAGCTAAAATAAGATACGATAATGCCTCAGAAAATAACAAAATGCCACAATGATTCATACTTTTAGATCTCCCATCTCATCAGGGACGGATATAGCGGGGGATTGCAGGGGTGGGAGACTCCCGCCCCAAATATTAATCATTTTTTGGTCGTCAGTAGTAACAAAATAATGCCAAGATTTTCCCTTATTGTTCATCTTATCTTCTTTACCTAAATATTAAAAACCGAATTTTGAAAATGGGTGTTTCTATCATTTTCCAGTAAGCTGAAGGGTTTGTCACAAAAATCCAATTAGCGTTTAACACCCTCTCCTATCCTTGTTGCAAAAATCCGTCCCTGCATCTTATCCTTGCACAAATACTTGAAAAACCATCAACAATCTCAAAGTTAGAGATTTTCAACTGTGTAAGTAGAAAGATAGAAATCATACTTTGTTTAGTTGACAATTCGAAACAATAGCTTTATGGTCAAATACACCAGGCATCATAATTAATATTTTCTGGTCCCAAATTTAATGAACAGATTTAATGCTTTTTGGTTTTAACACAATGTTTCATTTTTGTCACAAAATCTGTAATCCAGTCTTTTATGAACTGCTATGCAGTTTGTAACAGGCTTTTTTTGAGGTAGTGCTTCAAAATTCTGCTTTATTTTTTCTCAAAAAAGCAAAACAGTCATATGGACAAGAAAATGATAATTTTAGTCAAACTCTTTTAATAAAAGAAATCAATTTTCTACCATGAGCTATCAATCAAAGACCGAGATACAACTCTTTGTTTGGGGGGTGGGGGCAGCCATGATAAATCAGTGCAAAAACTGCCATATTTTACAAAACAAAAGTATTTTACTTATGACACTTAAGATTTTTGTTGAGGGGGGAGCAAGGCCTCCGGCCCAGCCCGGCCCCCAGCCCCCCGGTATCTCGGTCCTTGCTATCAATAGCAAGCCTTTTTACATTGTATATGCTTAATTTTATGGAATTTTGTTACCTACCTTGAGGCCTATTTTGGCAACCTAATAAACATGCTCGTAAGGTCTTTAGCGAAGAAATTTTCACAAGCAAAAACTGCCCTCGTGGATAAGCCTATGAGGGCTATTGTCCATTTAACAATACTTGATAAAGAAAAAGTCCTTTAAGGCCTAAGAGGTGTATTAGAAAATCATCTGCTCACGATTGTCTAGCATTTGGTCTTCTAATTGCGTGGTTATCGCAAAATTTAAAATGATGAAACAATAATGCTTCGTTTTTCATAAGCAACTTGATATTTCACTCATAAGCAAATTATTTAGAAACTAACTTTTCCGTAATTTCTCTTCCTGTCCTTGCAGACCAGACATGTCTTTGCGAGGGTGCTCAATAGCCTGTACCAATAATTTCTTAACGGGGGTTGGGGGGTGAGATCGACCACCAATATATAAACCAAAATATCTCGTTATTGGTTACTTTATTTCCCTTCATACAATGCATAGCATGTACCTATGAGATTTGTTCCTTTATATAATAATAATAATAATTGTAACATAATAATATATCTCGCCAAATCTCAGATGTTCAACCAATCTCTCGATTTCTATCAGGCCTTTGCGTTGCTTTTTAGAATTTGTTCCATTGCTGGAAGGTGTATTTTGAATTTTATGCATTGTCATAAATTATCTAAGTTTTTTTCATTTAATCCACACCTTCTGCAACTGATATTATCATATTTTCCTTTGTAAATCGGTCATGTTTAGTTTCATTAGCTTTTAAATCGGTCATGTTTAGTTTCAATTTTAGTAACGTTGGTCCCTTTTTATGTTTTATATATTCTTATATTCCAAAATTGCCTTTTTTAATGAACCTTATCTTTGTTTTAACGTTTAGTTGCTTTAAGCTCGCTTTTTTTTAAAAAATTGTCAATTTGACTGATAGTTGAATTTAAGTCCTGGAAGTGTTTATCTGACATGTTGCTGTTGTAATATTGGCCTTTTGGGTTGATAAATCTAGGGATTAAGGAATGATGTGATTAAGAACCACTTTACATGAAGAGCTATCATTAGAATATCATTTTTCTGGTTTTTCTGTCCTCCATACCTCTGCATCAGTTACCTTGACCATCTTCTTTCAGATGTCTTGTTTCTTGAAAATTTTTAATGTAATCTTGCGCTATTGCACAGATATTTTGCGAGTAAGTACATTATCTTTTAATGCTAAGTGATAAATTTAAACCAGGCACCAAATCATTTGACACTCATTTTTTTCTTTTTTTCAGTGGAACCTTAAGGCAGATAAGACCGGGTTCACTGCTTGTGAAACAAGTAATGGTGTCATAGATGGTAATGTTATAACACCATTTATCATTACAAATCCAGCGAAGGAGATAACCCTCAGAGTTACTTATACTTTGAATTGCTGTTCATCCAAATTGTCCATTGGTGTCTATGTCCTTTTGGGCTCAGGTGAAACATCTGCGCCAAGTGCTCTAAGCTTCAAGTACATTTCTGCTTTAAAGAATACCTCATCAATGAATCCGTTATCTAGAGCACAGTTTACATCAGCTATTACCATTGGAATGGAAGGAAGGACTGGACTTTTTGTTGCTTTCAGAGATCAAGGAATTTGTGGAAGCCTTGATTCATTTCATCTTAGTTACATAGAATGTCCAAGCTCAGCTGGGGAATTAATGTCATTTCCACTCAGAACTGCAGCTCCAAATAGCACAGTTTCAGTCCGAAAGGTGCTTGGAACATGCTTTCCCAATGCTGTTGTCCAAATTTCACAAGCAGCTATTTACATGTTTTGTTATACAAATGGTTCCACCAAGGTGAATGGTGGCTGTCATTGCAAAGCTGGATTTGAAAATCATTTCTTTACCAGTTGCCATGGTGAGTAAAAAAAATTGGCGTATACAAGGACCGTGGAGCATATTACAGATTGAGGAGGCTAAAACGTTTTGGGAGGGGCTAAACATGCTAAAAGCCAAGAGCAGAGCGATTTTGGTATGGTTTAAGTAAATTTTGGAAATTATTGGGGGGGGGCATAGCCCCAGTAGCCCCTCCTCTTCCGCAGTCCCTGAGCATACATATTTAGACGTTTAATAAAATGATAAAACTATGATAAAAAGTTGTTTTATCTTCTGTTGGTTGATACCTTGATTGGTTGGACTTTCTAAATAATTTGTAGACCAGCGATTTCTAGTTCCTAAGACTGCGAAATTATTAAAGGAATAAAATATCCAGAATATTGTATTTTCAGTTAATTAATTTTGTCAATTGTTCATCTACTGTATGTGTTATAAAAATTTGAATTAACTTTTTACCTTTTTTAATGCAAGTTAACTCATTGAGATATTTGTCAATGTAAAGAGCTTATAAGGAGCTAGCTTTTAAAATAACTTCTTAGGATCTTAAAGAGAACGTGCAGTTATGAAAATTGCAGCTTCAATATCTATGAATAAGTGTATAATGTTTCATATTAATACATTATAACACAAACTTAATCGTAGTTCTCTGTCCTTTACAACAGCGTTTAAAGATTCGAAAGATGGTAACCCAATATTCAGGTCACCTCCTCTTTATGAATAAGTAGCCCATTTTAATAAACTTCTTTTTTTACAAAATTTAGATTCTTGAATGCAGCTTCTACGTCTAATTCAAATAAAATAAAATTTGGCTTTAGTTTTAGATGGCTAGGGCTTATATCTATCAGTTTTCGTGAAACTTTTACCCATTGCATTCAAAGGAGTCTTATGATGATAACTTTTTGTTCTACTTTGCTATGTTTTTACAGAATGTCCCGCAAAGAGTTTCAAAAGTGCTGCTGGCAACTTTTATTGCACCAGATGTGGTGCAAATGTTGAGGACGGACTGAAGCCCAGGACAACACCTTGTAAATGCAACAATGGATATTACAGGCCACTTCGATCTAAAAGTGTTCCAACTGTCGACTGTGAAGGTGAGCTTAGTTAAAAAAGATTATCAATTTCTTGTAAAACGAATTGAATAGACTTGCCTTGCCTATAAATGTGAAACAGTGAAACAAGCGGCTACAAGGTCATTTAAGCCACTTGTTTCACTCACGATTCATATCAAACCTTCTCAATGACATCATACCATTGTAAACATTCAATTTATTT